TTCCTTAAATCCTTGCCACGGTTTCCTTAAAAGGAATACTTTAAAATACTTCTGATTTTTAATTAAGTTTTTATTTTAATTCCAGTATACTTAACATAGTGTTCTATTAGTTTCTGGCGGGCAATATAGTGAGTCAACAATTCTACACATTACTCAGTGCTCATGATAGTAAGTGTACTCTTTTATCCCCATCACCTGTGTCACCCACCCCTCCACCCACCTCCCTTCTGATAACCATCAATTTGTTCTCTATAGTCTGTATCTTGGTTTTTCTCTTTTATTTTCCTTTGCTCATTTGTTTTGTTGCTTAAGTTCCACATATGAGTGAAATCATATGGGATTTGTCTTTCTCTGACTTATTTCACTTAGCACTATATAGCTCTATCCATGTTGTTGCAAATGGCAAGATTTCATTCTTTTTTGACTGAATAATATTCCATTGTGTGTGTGTGTGTATATATGTATATTTATATTGATGGTATATCATCATGTAGTATATATACATAAATATTCATTATATATATATATATATATATATATCACATCTCCTTTATCCATTCATCTATCAATGGACACTTGGGCTACTTCCACAATTTGGCTATTGTAAATAATGCTGCAGTAAACACAGGAGGGCATATATCCCTTTGAATTAATATTTTTGCATTCTGGGGGGTAAATGCCCAGTAGTGTGATTACTGGATTGTAGGATGGTTCTATATTTAATTTTTTAAGGAAGCTCTTACTGTTTTCTGCAGTGTATGTACCAGTTTGCATTCCCACCAACAGTACATGAGGGTTCATTTTTCTCCAATCCTTCCCAACACTTCTTATTTCTTGTGTTTTTGATTTTAGCCAATCTGACTGGTATGAGGTAATATCTCATTGTGGTTTAGATTTGCATTTCCCTCCTGATGAGTGATGTTGAGCATCTTTTCATGTGTCTGTTGGCTATCTGGATGTCTTCTTTGGAGAAACGTCTGTTCATGTCTTCTCATTTTTAAATTGGATTATTTTTTTGGGTGCTGGGTTGTATAGGTTCTTTATATATTTTGGATACTAACCCTTTATATTAGATATGCCATTTCCAAATATCTTCTTCCATTTGGTAGGTTTTCATTTAGTTTTGCTGATTGCTTCCTTCGCTGTGGAGAAGCTTTTAATTTTGATGAAGTCCCAAATGTTTATTTTTGTTTTTATTTCCCTTGCCTCAGGAGACATATTTAGAAAAATGTTGCTACAGCTGATGTCACAGAAATTACTGCCTGTTCTCTCTTCTAGAATTTTTATGGTTTCATGTCTCACATTTAGATTTTTAATCTATTTTGAGGTTGTTTTCATGTATGGTGTAAAAAAAAAAAGTAGTTCAGTTTCATTCTTTTGCATGTAGCTGTCCAGTTTTCCCAACTGAACTTTGGTTAAGTTTATGCCATTTGTTGAAGAGACTTTTTCCCATTGCATATTCTTTCATGTTTTGTCAAAGACTGATTAACCATATATTTGTGGGTGCACTTCTGGGTTTTCTATTCTGTTCTATTGATCTATGTATCTGTTTTTGTGCCAGTACCATACTGTCTTGATGATTACAGCCTATAATAAATAACTTGAAGTCTGGAATTGTGATGCGTCTGGCTTTGTATTTTTTTTTTCAATGTTGCTTTGGCTATTCAAGGTCTTTGGTGGTTCCATACAAATTTTAGTATTGTTTGATCTAGCTCTGTGAAAAATGCTGCTGGTATTTGATAGGGATTGCATTAAATGTATCAATTCTAGTAATTTTTGGTAGAGTCTTTAGGGTTTTCTGTATATGGTATCATGTCATCTGCAAAAAGTGAAAGTTTTACTTCCCCTTTACCAATTTGAATGCCTTTTATTTTTTGTTGTGTAATTGCCTTGGCTAGGATTTCCAGTATTGTGTTGAATAAAAATGATGACAGTGTACATTCTTGTCTTGTTCCTGATCTTAGGGGAAAAGCTTTCCATTTTTCCCCATTAAGGATGATGTTAGCTGTGGGTTTTTCATAAGTAGCCATTATTATATTGAGATATGTTCCCTCTACACCTACTTTGTTGAGGGTTTTTATCATGAATGGATGTTTACTTTGTCAAGTGCTTTTTCTACATCTGCTGAAGTGATCATATGGTTTTTATCCTTTCTTGTATTGATGTGATGTATCACATTGATTTTTTTGTGAATACTGAAACACCCTTGCATACTGGGAATAAATTCCACTTGATTGTGGTGAATTATTTTTTTAATGTATTGTTGGATTCAGTTTGCTAGTATATTGTTGAAGATTTTTAAAATACAGACTTTTACAGTCATAAAATATATATTCTTCATGTTTTGAAAATTTGGAGAATGAGGGAAAATTTGGGGAAATGAAGAAAAATTAAGAATATTAATAATGTTTCCAAATGCAATTCAGAGAAAACTAGTTAACGTTTTGCTGTGGCTTTTTTTCAGCCACATATATACAAATTGTAATCATTTATATTGCTATATGCTTCCTATTTTAATGTAACATTATACCATGAGCATCTTCCTTTCCCTCTACTCTTCTCCAAGATTACAATTTTTATTGGTTCTATAACATATGAAGGTATGTCATCTCAAGAATATAGAATGACCCATGATCAACACAAACCAGACTTCCAGCAACCTAAAAGAAAAATTGCTGCAACTGTTGAAATCCTGATAAAATTTGAAACATGAAAGGACATGCAATAAAATACCAATAAATAAATATCATTTATTTCTCTCATTATTTCTATTTGGTGGATCATTCAGAAGAAAAAATGTTGAATAGTAATAATAGTGCTAATTCCAATCTTTGACAACTCTTACAAATACACTCCAGAGTTTCACCATTTTGAATTATGTGGCCCAATGATTTGATAGAGATGACCTTTATTATATTAATTATGTATCGTCCCATATCTAGATTTCTAAGAGATTTTACTGAGTATGGTATTTTATCAAATCTTTCTGGCATCTTATTAGATGAACATGTGTTTTGGTTTTTTGCCTAATTGTTTAGTGTATTATACTGATATATTTTCAAATATTAATTTGGACTTTCACTAATTCATGAAATAAATTATATCACCTTAGTATACAGTTTGGATGTACTTTATTGATGATTCTTAAATATATGCATAAGTAATACTGATCATAGTTTTCTTCTATCCTTGACAATTTGGAATAATAGGCTACTTTAGTTTGATAAAATGTTTTTGTAAAATATTCCATATTTTTTCACATTGAAACATGTCATATAGCACATTGTTTCTTGAAAAAGAAACAATTTTTAAAAATTTTAAACAGTATTTTCAGCTTGAAATAAGCTTAAAATAACTCTCATAAGCATTCTGCATCCAGCTCCATTTGAAAACCAAGTTCTCATAATGGGATCTCTATTACCTACGATAGTATATAAAGCGGAGTGTAAGCTGTATAGATGAATAAACAAAGGATTCTGTGAGAGACATTAAGTACAGAGTGCTGTGACAGTACTTACAAGGGGCATCCTCCTCACAAGAGGAGGCGAGATTGTTCTCCTAGAAAAGGTGATGTCTAAGTTAGGAGGGGTCCTTCTAGCTTAAGAAAGCAACATGTACAAATGCATAAGAAAGAGGGGAGCCTAGGTGGCTCAGCCAGTTAAGCGTCTGCCTTTGGCTCAGGTCATAATCCAGGGGTTCTGGCATAGAGCCCCTAGCCTGGTTCTCCCTCTTCCTCTACCCCTTCCCCCGCTCATGCTATCTCTCATGTGCTCTCTCTCAAATAATAAAATCTTTAAATTAAAAAATTCATAAAGAGTATAGTATTACGGGGAGACTGAAAGAAATAGCATGGCCTCTGCATAGCATTTAGGGTGTTAGTGGTGCCTCCAAAATTTCTACAGAAGACTCAAGGGGTAACAATGTGATTGGTGGAGGAGCTAGAGGACTTTTCTTGAAGTTGTGTTGCATAGGAAGCACATTGTTTTACACGGATTATATCTTCCTATTAAAATATTTTTTGTGCAGTTGCTGATGAAGATCATGAGGAAACAAAACCTCCCTTGACACCACCATAGCAGAAGAAATGGCAAAAGTGAAAGCAAAGGTAACTGAAAAAGTTCAGATAGGCCCACCTGACAGGTTGATTTGGTGTTTCTGGTAAACCTACTGTTTCCACTTTCTCTTGTTTTGACCTAAATTCTGATAAGAGGCTTCCCTCATCTAGGACCTTTTTTGAACAGAGAGAAAGCCATTGCTCTTTCATCTTTGTGTGTATATATGTATTATGTAATATGCTATATTACATAGAGTAAATGTAATTATATATTATATATATGCCATGTTGGAACCACCCATTGTTGTAGATGCCTAACAGATTTTATCTAAGTTGATTCTAATGACAACCTAACTAATAATTATTGCTTTTTCCCAGTTTACTATGAGCTAAGACCCTGAAAAAATAAACAGTTTACTAAAGTTATACCCAGGTTAAATGATATGGTGCTAGATCTACATAATCTTTTTTTTAATTTTTTTATTTTATTATGTTATGTTAGTCACCATACAATATATCATGTTTTTGATGTAGTGATCCACGTTTCATTGTTTTCGTATAACACCCAGTCTACATAATCTTTTAAATAGAGACGAGCTTCATCAGAACAGCTTTAATTTAAAATTTTCTATTAATAAAGACATCCTTATATATCTACATTTGAAAGCAGTTTGTCCTAAATTTTATTTGGCACTTTCCAGTAGAATTTTTGGAGTATTAATAGCCTTGACTATGTTGCTGTGTAGTCCTCAGATGTTCTGGATTTCTCCAAAGCCTTACTACCATCCATCATGAATAAAATAAATACCATATCCCTCCTCTTTTGATTCCTAGGAGTGTTTCAAGATGAATCAAATGCAATATTGGAAGTGAAGGTGTACTAAGAATCTACATTATAAATTTAAATTTCCCCGAGTCTTCTTTTCCAAACACTGAAAGTGACATGGAACACATGAAGATGGGAAATTACTCGCCTGTAACCAAATTCATTCTGGTGGGACTTTCCCAATACCCAGGGTTCCAGTTTTTCCTTTTCATGCTCTGCCTTATCATGTATATGATAATTCTGCTGGGAAATAGCCTCCTCATTATCATCAGCATACTGGATTCTCGTCTCCACACCCCCATGTACTTCTTCTTTGGAAACCTCTCATTCCTGGACATCTGTTATACATCATCATCCATTCCTCCGATGCTCATCATATTTAGCTCTGAGACAAAATCCATCTCCTTCATTGGCTGTGCTCTGCAGATGGTTGTCTCCCTTGGGTTCGGTTGCACTGAGTGTGTCCTCTTGGCTGTGATGGCCTATGATCGGTATGTGGCCATCTGCAACCCACTGAGGTACCCCATCATCATGAACAGAATGCTTTATGTGCACATGGCTGCTTGGTCCTGGATCATAGGCTATCTGACCTCCCTATTGCAAAAAGTCATGACAATGATATTGCCATTCTGTGGGAATAATGTCATTGACCATCTTACCTGTGAGTTACTGGCCCTTCTTAAACTCATCTGCTCAGATATCACCATCAATGTGATAATCATGACAATGGCAAATATTGTTATATTGGTGATTCCCCTACTGTTAATTTTCATCTCCTATGTTTTTATCCTCTCTTCCATCCTGAGAATTAATTCTGCTGAGGGGAGAAAGAAAACTTTTACCTGTTCAGCCCACCTGACTGTGGTTATCTTGTTCTATGGCTCAGCCCTTTTTATGTACATGAAGCCCAAGTCAAAGGACACAAACACTTCCGATGAGGTCACCGGGCTGTTTTATGGAGTGGTAACCCTGATGTTAAACCTCATCATCTACAGTTTGAGGAATAAAGGGAATAAAGAAGTGAAAGAAGCCATGAAGAAAGCTCTGAGGAAATACCTGCATTTATTGAAATCATGAAAGGCTTTAAGACATGTGATATCGTAAATGGGGAAATAGATCTTGTCTCTTTTTTTTTAATTCAATTAACATACAATGTATTATTGGTTTCAGAGGTAGAGGTCAGTGATTCATCAGTCTAATACCCAGTGCTCATTACATCACGTGCCCTTAATGCCCATCACGCAGTTACCCCATCCCCTCTTAACCTCTCACCTCCAGCAACCCTCAGTTTGTTTCCTATGATTAAGAGTCTCTTATGATTTGTCTCACTCACTGATTTTGTCTTGATTTATATATTTTTCCCTCTCTTCCCCTATGATCCTCTGTTTCTTAAATTCCATATGATAATTGTCTTTCTCTGACTGACTTATTTCGCTGAGCATAATACCCTCTAGTTCCATCCACATCACTGCAAATGGCAAGTTTTCTTTTTTTGATGGCTTAGTAGTATTCATATATATATATATATATATATATGTATGTATATATATATCACATCTTCTTTATCCATTCATCTGTCAATGGACATCAGGGCTCTTTCCATAGTTTTCTATTGTGAACATTGCTGCTATAACATTGGGGTGCAGTGCCCCTTGGGGTCACTACATTTGTATCTTTGGGGTAAATACCCAGTAGTGCAATTGCTGGGTTGTAGGGTAGCTCTATTTTTAACTTTTTGAGGAACCTCCATACTGTTTTCCAGAGTTGCTGAAATAGCTTGCATTGCCACCAGCAGTATAAGAGGGTTCCCCTTTCTCTGCATCCTTGCCAAAATCTGTCGTTTCCTGGCTTGTTAATTTTAGCCATTCTGACTGGGTGAAGTGGTATCTTATAGTGCTCTGATTTGTATTTCGCTGATGCCAAATGATATCGAGCATTTTTTCATGTGTCTGTTGGCCATTTGTATGTCTTCTTTGGAGAAATGTCTTCTGCCCATTTCTTGATTGAATTATTTGTTCCTTAGGTGTTGAGTTTGTTAAGTTCTTAATAGATTTTGGATACTAGCCCTTTATCTGATACGTCATTTGCAAATATCTCCTCCCATTCTATTGGCTGTCTTTTGGTTTTGTCGACTATTTCCTTTGCTGTGCAAAAGCTTATCTTGATGAAGTCACAATAGTTCATTTTTGCCTTTGTTTCCCCTGCTTTTGGAGACGTGTCGAGAGAGAAGTTACTGCAGCCAAGGTCACAGAGGTTGTTGCCTGTATGTTCTAGGATTTCGAAGGATTCCTCACATTTAAGGCCTTTCTGCCATTTTGAGTCTATTTTTATGTATAGTGTTAGGAAATGGTCCAGTTTCATTCTTCTGCATGTGGCTGTCCAATTTTCCCAACACCATTTGTTGAAGAGACTGTCTTTTTTCCATTGGATATTCTT